GTTGATTTATATTAGATCATAGTTCAAAACAGAGAAGGCATGCTGAAAATGTTACAAACGAAAAATTATCCATATACATGTAGTATGTGTTTTTTATATGAAAAACAGGATGACAGATTCCTTATCACCTGTATGCTTATCATTCATAGGGTTGATTTGTAGTAGAAAATATTTCAAAAAAGAAGCCAGGGAAGGTGTGCTAAATATGTTGAAAGGAACAATTTGACTGTAAATGAATCCTTCTTGAAAAAAATCGCCTAAAACAGTTATTTGAATTTACATTTGTTAGATCTGTAGTAAATAGAAGCTTCCCTCCAAAATATCTAAACATTCAAAGTCAGTTAAGTTTCATCATTGTCTGAACCAAAAACAAGATTTTACTATTTCTAAATTAACTAGAGCAATTTGTATCTATGTGTTTTATATTTTAAACATAGGATGTGAATTTAGAAAGAGCTTTAGGTCCAATGAGAGATCGTCTTATCAAAATGGTGGCACGTGACCTTCACTTGAAACAACCATGGTATCACGGTAAAGTTGGCAGAGAGGAAGCAGAAAAAAGAATAAAAAAGAATGGAATCAGATCAGGAAAATTTTTGTGAGTTTTTATTTCTGTCTCATCATTTTTTGTAGTAATGAAATGGAATTTGACACCCCTCTATGATATTGAATTGATGCAGAACAACTTAAAGGGACAAAACTTTGATAAGAAAATAATCTTTAGAAGTACTAGAAAGGTATACAAATTGCATAATTCCTTCAAAAATACCTCAAAGTAGGAATTTTTCTTTCTATTTCCATATATCTATGTATGGCAGAGACTCAAGAAAAGACGAGTCTTTTTAACTTTCTTATTTATCAAACAAATGACAGATCTATCCCTTTAATAGTGAAATAAGTTTTATTTGATATAATACAAACAATCTTTGAAGGTTTACCTTCCATATATAGCTTGGTAACAAAAACATGTCTGGATGTGTCCTTAGTTACCTGAATCTTCTCCGTATTATAATTATGGAATTGTATGAAGACCAAACCCTTGACTGTATTGTGGTATTTTGTTGGTCCAGGGACATCATAGTGTATCTGGTTATGTCTTTATGGTCTCATTAATGGTTCAGCTTTGTATAGACACCAAAAACTTATCATCTTTAATGGTGAATATTCTCAAAAACTAGCAACCCTAATATGGGTTTGGAGAAACTCCCATAAGGTCTGGCCATAAATGTGACATCTGTATATATTGTCAGTGGAACTGGCTAGGGTCAGAGAAGTTAGTAAGCTTCCGTAGTGAAACACAGTAGAAATAAGTGTTGAAGAGACTATGGTATGGGATAAGTGTTACCTTTTAAAAGATTAAGAAAACCTTTCTTTTGCATGCTTTTAGACTTGATATATAAATATCTATTTTCAGGGTAAGACAAAGAAGTGATAAGAAATCGTTTGCTTTGACGATGAGTTTTGAGGGCAGTGAAATGAAACACTATATAATTAGTGTGGATAATGATGATAAGCATTCTATAGAAGATGGTCCTAAATTTGGATGCCTTATTATGGTAACTGTTTTACTTTTTTATACGCATTTCTTGTAGCCACGATAGATGCTGTCCAATCTTGATGAAACTTAGTATTCATGTATATATGATAAAATCTGTCAAGTTCAAATTTGGTAACAATCTGATGAACGGTTTCGGAGTTATTGCCCTTTGACTTTGTAAAAAAAACGGTCAAATTTGGCCTGTATGTCCAATAGAGACTACAGTTGCACGTATATTGCACCAACAAGATCTCGGTCAAGTTCGAAATTGGTAATAATAATATGGACGATTTCAGAGTTATTGCCCTTGACTTAATGAAAACACGTCAAATATGGCTTGTATGGGTATGATAGTATTGTTGTTTTTTAGTATCCGTGATACTCACTCCAAGTCGAAATTGGTAATAATTGGATGAGAGTTATTGCCCTTGACTTGATACAAACACATCAAATTTAGGTTGTAGGCATGATAAAGGCTGCAGATTTTAACTGATCTTGATGAAACTTGGTATGCATATATATATCGATGAGATCTCAGTCGAGTTTCGAACTTGGTAGCAATCGAATGAACGATTCAAGAGATAATGCCCTTGTTTGTACGTCGATGTTTGAATTTGATGATAATTTGATGAACTGTTTTGCCTTGACTTATGAATATTTTTAAGATTATTTGAAAATTCATTATGAAGCCACTGAAGACCTTGTCGTCATTTCTGACATCTGGTAGTGGGCGTATGTTATATACATTTAATACTTTATGCTGCGACTTGAATATCTTGATAGAATTTATTTTTGTGACATTATAATGACTGAAGTAACTTCTTGTCATAAAATTTTTGTGCTTTTGATATGAGATGTAAATGCCTTAACATATGTTTGTTTGATTTATGCACAATGTGACTAAGTTTGGTTTTTTATACAAAAAGATAATGGATAAGTATAGTAATGTTTAGCTTGGTAGCTCATGATTTCATACATTAGATGAAAATCTCAACCTTTTAATCCATTGAAACACAAGAATTTAAGTTTCATGTTAATTTCTTAAGATCTTAATTTAACATAACACAATGGTTTATATTGTAGCTGATAGATCATTACCATAATAAACAAGATGGTTTAGTGTGTAAACTAGAACATCCCTGTCCAAATCCCTTATCCAGCCCGGCTGATGTTACCAGTAGGTTTCTGACTTTTTACCTCCATCTTTATAAAAACTCTTATTGCAGTCAACTGTCAGAACAACTCCCAGGGGTATTATTTGTCTGGTCCTAAACTCAGCTACGATATCCAATCTGAATATCCCGTCAGAGTAACTGGGTAAGGCCAGATTTGTTGGGCCAGAAACTTTCCAACATTGCCTTCGAAGATCTCGTAAAATTCTGCTAGCAACCAAATTCATCAATTGTCTTTTTTTCTTCTGGGTTGATGAATTTAATTTTTTGATTTCTAAATATATCTTCTTTAATACAAGTATGACTAGTATTTTGACCTTTTGCTACATGTTATTGTTGTGGGTTTTTTTTTTGGGTACAAAGAACCAAAATTCTTATTCTTACCATTTGATTTGGATGATGTATATGAAATGGATTGTAAATGGGTTTTCTAGCCTTTTTTTTGTGTATCGCAGACACCTCTGATTTTTGTTTCGAACACGCCAATTCCTTGCCTGTGGTTCCTGCAATTCCAGAAAGAGCTAACAGGAAATGACACAGCTCCCACAAGAGAATTCCTAACCAACCTTCCACCAGACCATATGTTATCTCCACTTGCAAGATGGCAGCATTTCTAACTAAAAAATTGCCAGCCTAATCAATATAAGATGTAGCAAAGAGTTTTATGTAGCAAAATGTGAAATGCAGCCATTTTGTAAGGGGAGATACCATATATTATTATGTTATTGTGGTCTGGTGTTAGGTTGGTTACGAATTCTCTTGCCAGATCTGCGTCATATCCGGTTAACTCTACCTGGAATTGCAGAAGCAACAAGCACCTGACGGAGAAATGGAATGTCCCAAATGTCAAAGGTGTCGCCGATACACATAAAAAGGCTAGAAAATCTCATTACAATCCCTTTAATGATAATATATTTTCATAATGTGCAATATGTGGATTTTAATTTCAGAATATTTAAAAACATGTAATGAACACCTGTTTGACTGTTCTATGAGAACGCTACTAGTGTCAAATGGTTTTTCTGAGGTTGGTTAATATTCACATTTCTAAAGATCTAACCTCTATCTGAGGGCTGAGGGGATTTGTAGATATTCACATGAGGTTATTTGCATGGTTACATCGAACAAATGGTGGGTCCTGGATTCTAAGAGAGAGGGAGGGAGGGCCCACCTGGCCCCCTACTAGCTATGGGCCTGTATCCCAGTCTCCCCAGCTATAAGTGGGTATAGATAATCCAGGTGGTTGAATAGATCTTCAATGAATCTAAGTTGTTTTTTAATGATTGTTTCTTTTTATAAACTTTTTAAATTCTAATAGCAAGCTAAGTCGTGCTCTGGATAAAGTCACTGAGGTACATATTGATTGATGAATACAATCGTTATATAAAAAAGTATGTTACAAATGGTGATTAATGGGGGATACTCTAGATAAGTCATCTTGTGGGTGACAATATTATTTGGAAAAGATCATTGCAAAAATTCAGCTAAGATTCCAAAAAGGATCCTCAAGAAGTTGTTGTCCTTTTTTTTTCAAACTGAACATATTGGAATATTTTCATCAGTCTAATGATAGAGCACCAGAACAAAGAGCAACATATCCAGAGAGAAGGATGTCGCAACGTGATCGTGTACCTCTTCCTCCAATTCCTACACCAAAAGCATCAGCTCCTTTTGATGATGATGATATGGCTGAACCACCAGGCAAGTCTACCTACTCTGTTTTCTCTGTTGATATCATTGATATTATTATTGGGTTTGAGAGGAGGGGGTCGAGTTGAAGGCTCAAATTAGGCTGAGCTGTGAACACTATTACTGAACGACTCTAATATGTGCAATACCAATTCATGTATTTAGTATTTTTCAAATTTAACAAACTAAAAAATATTAAGTAACAGACCCAAAAATTATTTGTAGAGTTCCTAGGTGAAGCACCAGAAGTCAATGTTAATGGGGATAATTTGGAAAGTGAATATATGGAAGTGAGAAGGAAAGAAAAAAGATTTGAATTAGAACCAAGCAAGTTGACTCTTCAAGACAAGTTAGGTAGGTATTAACTGGTTTCATTGGTATCATGAGTCCATACTGACTATATAACAGAGACTTTAATTGGTTGAATTATGTTGAACATACTGTTCTTTGTAGTGTTGTTTTATTTATATGCATTAAGCATTATTAAGCAAAAAATTGAGTAGAGCTAGTAAATAGAAGTTATTTTTAATATAGTACTTTAGGTTTAGATAGAGAGGTATATGAAAGAAACATTGATAAATTAATCTCTAAAACTACTATATATGTCTCTAGGTTCAGGACAGTTTGGTTTTGTATATAAAGGATTGTGCAGATTGGGAGGTAAAGAAATTCCTGTGGCCATTAAAAAGCTCAAAAATGAGGAACTGGTCCCAGGTGTCGAGGTTTGTTTCTTTTTCCGAAATTTTCAGATTTTATTTGGTTTTTTATTTCCTCAGTTTAAACTTGAATTTATTGACAAAGTCAAAAGAATTGAGTGAAATTATGAAAACTTAACGCAACTCTCCATGCAGTGGCTCAACTACCATAGTCTACGGGCCCCCGGCCCCAGAAATCTACAGGCATTAAATTGACTTACAGATGGGTCTCAAAATGCATGGAGAACAATGTTAAAAACAAAATTCCATGTAAAGTGGACCACATACTTTAAGTCCATGGGCCTTTTTTTATATTCTAAGTGATATGAAAGACTAATTTTGCCCTAAAGTATTTTTTAAGACGTTGTTATATTTTCAGCCTGAACTATACCGTGAGGCCAAAGTAATGCAAGAACTGGAAAATAAAAACATAGTACAAATGATTGGTGAGTTCTGTACAAGTATTATAATTCCACTCATGTAGGGGAGTATTTTGTTTAGTTTAACTGAGGGGCCTTCTTTCTTGTATGCCCATAAGCAGACTTCATTTGTGAAGATTGCACAGCGTGAAACTCTTGAGTAACAACATGTTTCAGGTTCTGTTTTGATATTTCTATTTCTATATTGCTGTACAATTGATGTATTGACAACTATTTTAACAGTGGTATTTCTATATTGCTCTACAATTAATGTAATGAGCACTACTTTAACACTGATTTTTCTGCATCGCTCTACAACTGATATATTGAGCACTATTTTAACAGTGGTATTTCTATATTGCTCTACAATTGATGTAATGAGCACTATTTTAACACTGATTTTTCTGCATCGTGTCGTGCTCGTGTTTACAGACGTATAGGTGAGCGTTTAAGACCAAATTGTGTTCAGGAAGTCAGAGCGTTTGGAGGTGGTAGTGTCATGGTGTGGGGAGGGATCTGCGATGATAGGAAAACACCACTTGTGACTATTCGTGGCAACCTTAATGCTCAAAGGTACAGAGACGAGATTTTGCGACCAGTTGTTCTACCATTTATCCGGCAACAACCCCGTGGCATTGTCTTTCAACACGATAATGCAAGGCCACATACAGCAAGATTGACAAATGACTTTCTTCAAAACGCCAACGTCGTTGTTTTACCGTGGCCAGCTTGTTCTCCTGACATGAATCCGATTGAACACCTATGGGATTACCTCGATCGGCAAATCCGAAATTGACCGACGCAACCTGTCACTGCTCAACAGCTGGAACAATGTCTCGTAGAAGAATGGCAAAGAATAACGCCTAACGTCATCCAACGTCTTACATCATCAATGCGTCGACGTGTTTTCGCCTGCATTGCTGCTAATGGGAGTCACACTTGTTATTAATTAATTCATTGATAAATAAATATTGATTATTTTTTAAAGACAATTTGCCTTCTGAATTTCTGTAAAAGTAAACCCGACCCCCCTTGTCTTTGTGTGCCGGTCGAACAGTAAACATGGCTGTCTGTTACTTAAATTTGTGTAAATTTGTTGTAGAAATGAATATTCTATTGGAATTACATAGTTGTTCATTTCTATCTGCTTTTGTTTTCTCCTAACAATTGGTCAAACCTAGTGGGTACTTTCTTTTGAGCATTAGTTTATGTTGTTATTGTATTGTAGGTATATGTAAATCTGATGGTATAATGTTAGTATTAGAGATAGCACCTCTAGGACCACTGAATAAATTCCTTCCTAAAAACAAGTAACTATCTCATTTTATATCTTGTTTAGCATAACTAGAATTATTTGTATTTATTGCCAGTAATATGCCTATTTTTGTGGAATTATTCTTTCAATCATTATTACATTCTATCATTGAACATATTATGTTACTCTGCTAATTTCTGTTTGGAAAAGCTTCTGCATGTGCCTGATAATTATATTTCTTAATTTGGGTAATATTTTGATCAGAATATTGGAATTCTATTGATAATCTTAACGAATAATAAATTGATTATATTTAGCAATATTGAAGTATAGATATATTGTGAAATGTATACTAAGTAAAGTTTATGTAAAGAGTAGGTGATGAATTATCATATGAAACAGTTCAACCTTTTTCCTATTGTAGAGATATGACAGATGCAGAAATAACCAGACTGGTACTACAAGTGGCTAGAGGAATGGCTTATCTGGAATCCAAAAAATTTGTTCATCGAGATTTGGCAGCAAGAAATGTTCTGTTGGTTTCCAAAAAATTTGCTAAAATCAGTGATTTTGGGATGTCAAAAGCTTTAAGTAGAGACAGTAATTATTATGAGGTAACAACATTTCTTTGTTTTATCTGTTAAATACCATGTTTTACTGAAACATAACAAAAAAACATGTGCCTCTATTTCAGACTTTGATTTTGGCAGTAATCGACTGAGTCAGAAAAACTAAGCCTAGTTTTATTGGGATTTTCTGTCTCTACACTAGGCAACTGCTTTCAAAATAGCTATCAGAGGTTGGAATAGAGGCAGTTGTTTCGGACTAATTAAACTAAGTGAACCAGGACAAAAATCTTCTGTACTTCAGGACATGCACGTAAGAGATCCTTGACAATCAAAAATGAACATGATTTAGGTCCGTTCACATGAATTGTTTCTTGTGTTAAACTCTCAAAAAAAGACGAAACAGTATTGAGCTAGAAGAGCTCAGTTTACCTATTAACGTAATTTAGTATTGACTCATGTAGCCTACTGGTTTTATGGCTTTAATTATTGAGTCAGTCTTCATTATAATCTTGGATGAATAATTTTGAGATTAATGAATTCAAGAAACTCACATTACTTTCAGGCTGAAAATGCTGGAAAATGGCCATTAAAATGGTATGCTTTAGAATGTATATTATACTGGAAGTTTGACTCCAGATCTGATGTATGGAGTTTTGGTGTGACTATGTGGGAAGCCTTTTCTTATGGTGGCAAACCATATTCCGTAAGTTTAAGTTTTTTACTTTAAATTGAGAAAGGGGATTCTGATAGTGTGCAATAGTTCCCTTTATTAAACCAGAATTAAAAACTTGCATCAGGTTTGCCTTCACCTGGACTCAATTTTCATAGATTTGAGAACTAATCCAGATAATCGGTGCCCAAGAAAAATGTATGGTTTAGTGATATGTTGATTAGATATCTTTATTATGTTATAAATCATTATGTGAAGTCTGAAGTTCCAATAACTAATAAATACTGTGTATACTATATTTAGGGAATGAAGTCTCAAGAAATATTAGAATTTCTACAGAAAAATGAACGTCTTAGTAAACCAGACAAATGTCCAGATGAAGCTTATAAAATCATGAAAGAATGTTGGCAGGAAAAGTAAGTCTAACATTATAGATAAAAAAAATTGAGAAGAATCCACCAATTAGATGATTCCTTGAAATTGCTTGAAAATCCTGATCTATGAAAATGGTTTTCAAGGCCTGGAATATCCTAGAATTTCCTAACTTTTCAAAAATATTTTTTGAAAATCCTTGATCTTTTAATGATGATTTTTTGTAATCATTTGATAAGATTGTTTGGTCAACCATTTGTGAAAACTTGAGATCTCCTATACACTCAAACTCTCTGAAAAGGAGCAAGAAAGTGACAAAAATTTCCATTGAAATGAAATTAAGAAAATAATCTCTCAGTAAATATTCTCAAACTGCATTTTACAATATGTCATAAGATATAATTGTCCAAAAATAAAACATGCAGGGAAAATTTGAATTGAAATGAATTTATTTTACCTTCAGACCTAAAGACCGACCAACATTTGCAGAATTAGCCTCTAAAATGGAACTTCTTCATCAGAACTTATTGATCGGAATGTAAAGAAGATAGAGTTTCTATATTTCCATTGTTTATCAAGCCTTTATCATACTTCTATGCAGGTTTTTCTGTATCATTTTTGAAAGCTTCATTATAAATAAGAATTGTGCCATTTATCATTTGTCTTCTGTATAAGGGTATACACAGACTTGATCACTTTATATTGATAGTATTAGTTGGTTTTATCAACTAAGAATTCCCTGTTAAAAACCCTAAGAAATTGAATCCTGATCAGCAGAAATAGGTAGAAAAAAATTTAAGGACTATCACAACACTTCTATTTTTCAAGTACTTTTAAGAAAAAAGTTTTTTTCAAGCACAGAGTAAAAAAAAGTATATGATTCAGTCTTTGCTATTATAACTACAGCATTAGTTTAAAAATAAAATTATATTTGTATTGCTCAAGTGTCTTTTCTTTAAAACTTCTTTAATGTTGTGTTCATCATACCATGTTATCATGCATGATATATTTGTTCTTGTCCTTTGATTTCATCAGGGCAAACATCTTGTAGTAGATGTGCTTCAGATTGTTTGTGTATAATATACAGCCTTTAACAATGAAATGTTGGCTTTATATTTTTGATTTTGCTCAGTTTTTTTTGTTGTTTCATGTTAAATCACCTTTGAATTTGTAGTCTGCTAATTTGAATAATGCATTTTTAGTTTGATTTATAATATAATGATAAATCTCTGTTTTTATGTTTTTCTACTAGAAATTCGAATATTAATTTGACACAATTGAGGCTTAAACAGCACATTTAAATTTGAAAGTTAGCATAAACAAACTCTTTTAATCAAAAGATCTTTGAAGCAAAAACAAGCACAGCTGAATGGAGCTCCTATTATGTATTTGTCTTACAAGAGAGCACAAGTAGAGACCTTGTATGATGATAAAACGTAATTGAGTTATCTCTGAATCAAAACATTGATCAAAATAATGTCTTAAAACAAAATGCTATATATTGTGCTTATTATTTGTTTGCTATTTGTAATTTAGTGTAAAAATTGTGATTTCATTATGATTTGTATTGATAACAATATTATCTGATACTGTATTTGTGTAAGAGGTTGAATTACTTTATATAATAGCCCAGTCACACGTGACTTCAACCATTTGCAATCTTGCGTCATCTAAAATTGTACTTGGTAACCAGCCAACGTGAAGACAACTTACAATTACTAATTCTACATTAGTTGCTATAAACATTCGACCATGTTGTGTTCCCAAGACTCAGTTCTATTAAACTTAATGGGTTTTTATTGTGTGTATGGAGATGTAAGCTGTCTAAAGACAATTACTGATGGCAACGGCACCCACTTATGATATCTGGCATTTATATCACAGTGAAAGTGACCTTAATGTCCTTTGAGCTAATTTTTCCGTTGGTGTAGCTATTTAGTAAGGATGCCTTTCTGGTGTGACAGTGCTATAAACACACATAGATCAGTTAAATTATTAAGTACATATTGATATGTATATTAAGTTTCAAGGAATATTTTATTATAAGGCATGTTGTTTGAAATGTAGGCTATGTTGATCATAGAAATATGAAAATAAGAATTCTGATTGAGTGGATATCTTTAAGTCTAAATATACTTACATGATTAATTTTACATTAGCTTAGTTTACCACAAAGTACTTCTAAATTTATTATAGTTATCATTTTTTTATATCTTGTACCATTTTTGTAAATGAATATTTTGTATGGTATTTATATGGAGTATACTTACTATTTGTTTAAACTTACAATTACTACTTTTAGTTTCTGTTAATTCAAATCCTTGAAAAAAAAACCATCAGAATATCATATCAAAATTTAGTTTTGTAGTTGATTGGAAATCTTAATCAATATGAATTAAGTTCTTAATCAAATTTTATATGTTACAATAATTTGATTTTATTTTTGCTGCATAATACTTTTTGTAATTTGAATTAAGTTTTTTAATTCTGTATTTGGTATCAATTGTATATAAGCTTTAGTATTTTATTCAGTAGCTTAATTTATATTAATATTTTATCCAGATATCCATATATAGGGTAGGGCCTTTGTTTGTCTGTCAACTTTAGTTGAAGATTGCTTCTAGAACTTTTTATATTACATTCTGTAGAAGTTTAACTGCTAACTAATCCAAATTATTTTATACATTGATTCTACTGATTGTTAATTCATAATAGATTGATACATTTTCATTCTAGTTTTTTATTGTACTGATTAGAATGATAATTTCTTTGTATTTTAACATTTTGTACTAATGTTTTTATTCTTAAAGACACCCATGGTTTTTTGTTTCATGTTTTATTAGCAGATTTGTTTACTTGTATCAGATTGATAAACAAACATTAGGTAGCTCGATTGTGTTCAGAGAAATATTATGAATTTTAAATTTTTAGATGTATTTCACAAGTAACTATTACAATGTGTAATATTTGCTGTGCTACAGTATGTTATCTATGCAATTACTTATCTGGGTTTAATTTTATATTCATCTTGTATTTAAGTGTTCTGTTTGAGTTTATATTTAGTACCAAGATGGTTAAATGATTGTGCATAATATATCTTGAATTTATTTATTGTATCATCTCGAATTATTTTAAATTGACTGATCCTTATATTAATAAGGTAATTGGCCTCTGTTGTATTTTTACGTCTTGAAGTTTCCCTAATTGTCTGAATAAATATAAACAGACTTTTTCAACCCCTCTTGATCGATCACTCTTTGGAATTCTGCTAATTATGAATTAATTATGGACATGTGACACAAATTTTTCAAAGTCATTAGAACACCTCTACTTTCTATTCATATAAGTATTATTTTAAGAGAACCCATCTTTAAGTATTGTAAAATGTTATACAGTTGTACAGAGTTTCAGAAAACACAGGCAAAGTTTTTGTCTGAGTTATTAGGTTTACTCATGCCCTCTCAACAAATTAATTTGACTAAGGAGAATATTAATTAGAGACTAACTACGAACTAACCAGTTTTGTCAAGCTTCATAAAAATTCAGAAAAATATATTGTGATTTTGACTATAACATTCCAAAGCTTTATTTAATAGAGAAATTCAAGATAATTTCTGTAACATCAAATTTAAAAAAAAAAAAAAATACATCTTTTCTCTTCTAGTTGGGTTAAATCCAAATCAACATCTTCTTGTTTTAATCAAACTTCAAGTTCATAGATAATTCACAATGAAATGGATAACTAAAGGATAGAATTACTCTGTGCCATGATGTAGTTCAGGTTTTAAAGAATGTGATTTGTATTGTGATTATATTATTACTGTCATTCAGCCCTGGAGGCTTGTTTCTATTTCAATTTTTATTGAATATTCTTGTTATTTGTTGAATTTATTGTCTCTAATGTATCTTCTCTATTTTTGTTAAAATAAATGTATTTTCTCATGAGTTGTTTCTCTAGCTTAATTTCTATAACTCAGAAATTTCAGATCCCAAAGCCATATTTTTCCATTTCATGAATTTTGCCTTTAAAATTCAATTTCCAGTGGCATATGAAAAGCCTGTGCAAAGGTGGCAGCACATGGTTCATAGGAACTTTAATATATTAGGCCCATTAATATCACTTTTGGAAACAAGGTTGTTTAAAAGTATCAGAAAGGACGAAAATGAAATCAAGTCCTGAAGTGCCAACTTTATGAGCAGAGCATGTATTTGACCTCTCAGCACCTATCCACAGAAATAATATCGAAAACATCTGTCAAAAATTTTGCCATCAGTTTAATAGCAGAAAATATGAACATAGTAGATTTGGCTAGCTTACATGTTAAGCACACATCATGGATCTGGCATGGAAACAAAAGAATAGGTTACAAGATCTTGGAAAAAAAAGAAAACAACATAAAACAAAGCCCAATAAAATAGATCACTAAATAAAAAAAAAAAAAAATTTGAATAATTGAAATTAAAAAAAATTGCTGTATTTCTAAACACAACCTCTTAAAGTGGAATTAAGTTAATAAATAAATAAAAATATTACATTTTATCATAAATTTACTTCTTTTTGGACTGAAATATCTCTCACTGCAGCAATAGTTTTTATGTCAGACCTTCTTAGAATGCTGAGCACAAAAAGAAGAAAATTTATAAGGAAAAAATTAAACTTAAAAAAATACAGCAATTTTTCTTTCAATCCAGTTTATTGATGAATATTTTATAGAAATACTTTGCAAATGACATTAAGTAATGAAAGAATATCCTTTGACATTTAATTTTGCAATCTTTTTAGTAAAGAATTTAATAAGTATCAATAAGTATCATCAACTTACTGTAAAACATATACTAAAATTACTTACAAAAAAAACCTTGCTGCCTTATACGAAACTATCTGATACTCTTAAAAACTAACTAAGGGACTTGCCAAGTTTATGTGCTGTAATCAGCAAGCTATATAACCAACTTGAAGCTGAAGTCACCCTTCTGTGAGAAAAATGAACACATTACTAAAGGAAATATTTAACATCTTTCAAATTCTTCATAATTAATTGTTTATC